GGTTCTCCCAGATTAGAGTCCATGCACTTTACCACTATACTACACCATCCAAATTGTCAACTGCCTTGGCAATATATTATGAGCAAGATACAGGACACCCCACTTGACCCAACCCACAGCTATTGGGAACTTGTAACTCCTTGCAATAAGAAGGGCCTCTGTAGTAGGAGAGCAAGTACATATGAACCCACCAACTACCTAGAGGAAAGAGCTGCTAATGGTTTGTGTTTTCTTGTCATAAGAACATAAGAGACGCCAATGTTGGATCAGGCCAAAGGCCCATCCAGTCCAACACTCTGTGTCACACAGTGGCCAGAAATACCAGTGCCATCAGGAGGTCCAGCAGTGGGGCCAGGACATTAGAAGCCCTCCCACTGTTGACCCCCCCCCAAGCACCAAGAAGACAGAGCATCACTTGCCCCAGAGCCCCTAGCTATACCTTGTGGCTAATAGCCACTGATGGACCTCTGCTCCATATGCTTATCTAATTCCCTTTTGAAGCCGTCCATGCTTGTAGCACCCACCACTTCCTGTGGCAGTGAATTCCATGTGTTAATCACTCTTTGGGTGAAGAAGTACTTCCTTTTATCCGTTCTAACCCGACCGCTCAGCAATTTCATGGAGTGCCCACGGGTTCTTGTATTGTGAGAAAGGGAGAAAAGTACCTCTTTCTCTACCTGCTCTTTCCCATGCATAATCTTATAAACCTCGATCATGTCACCCCTCAGTCGTCTTTTCTCCAAGCTAAAGAGCCCTAAGCGCTTTAACCTTTCCTCATAGGGAAAGTGTTCCAACCCTTTTATCATTCGAGTTGCCCTTTTCTGCACTTTTTCCAAAGCTATAATATCCTTTTTAAGGTGTGGTGCCCAGAACTGCACACAGTATTCCAAATGAGGTCTCACCATTGATTTATATAGGGGCATTATTATATTGGCTGATCTGTTTTCAATACCCTTCCTAATAATCCCCAGCATAGCATTGGCCTTCTTTATTGCAGTCACACACTGTCTCGACATTTTCAGTGAGTTATCCACTACAACTCCAAGATCTCTCTCTTGCTCAGTCTCTGCCAGTTCAGACCCCATCAATGTGTATTTATATTTAGGATTTTTGGCTCCAATGTGCATCACCTTGCACTTGGCCACATTGAACCCCATTTGCCATGTTGACGCCCACTCGCCCATCTTTGACAGATCCCTTTGGAGTGCCTCACAATCCTCACTGGTTTTCACCACCCTGAACAACTTTGTATCATCCGCAAATTTAGCCACTTCACTGCTTACTCCCAACTCCAAATCATTAATGAACAAGTTAAAAAGCAGTGGACCAAGTACTGATCCCTGTGGTACCCCACTGCTTACCCCCCTCCACTGGGAGAACTGCCCATTTATACTCACTCTCTGTTTTCTATTAATTAGCCAGTTTTTGATCCATAAAAGGACTTGTCCTTTTATCCCATGATTTTTGAGCTTGCTTAGGAGCCTTTGATGAGGAACTTTATCAAAAGCTTTCTGGAAGTCAAGGTAAATAATATCTATTGGATCCCCCTTGTCCACATGTTTGTTCACCCCCTCAAAGAACACTAACAGGTTAGTGAGACAAGATCTTCCCTTACAGAACCCATGCTGAGTCTGCCTCAATAGGTTTTGTTCATCTATGTGCCTACGAATTCTTTCCTTATTAATGGTTTCCACCAATTTACTCGGTATCGATGTCAGACTGACTGGCCTGTAATTTCCCGGATCTCCTCTGGAACCCCTTTTTAAAGACGGGAGTGACATTAGCTACCTTCCAGTCCTCAGGAATGGAGGCAGATTTTAAGGAAAGATTACATATTTTTGTAAGGAGACTCTTCTTAGTTCCCAAGCTCTGACGAGCCCAGGATAAACCGGACTATTTGGGCTGCTAGATATAGCCAAAGGATTGTGACTAAATAGTGGATACAGACAATTCACTAGAACCAAAGTTGGAACCAAAGGGCTGGGGAGATGTTACCAAGAGTGACTTCAGACATTACAGCAGCTGATGGATCCTCTCCCCTTCTCTTAACATGCTGTACATCTTCCTCAGTGTCTGAAAGGGCTCAGGCAATCATGGATCCTGGGAGTATGTTTCCATACCCACGTCTCATCTTAAAAATGTGTGGCCAACATGCAGTCAAAGTGGGGGATCCAGATTTTCTGCTTGCAATGGACTCTTCCCAGTTTACAACTGGGATTCCTTCGACCCATTCACTAAGATGGGACACACTGGAGAAAGCACATGCACAGCACACAAAAACATTCCTATTAACCTTCAGAAATTCCAGCTCAGCTTCTTTTTCAGAAGCTCCGATGTAAGAGCTATGCAGTTTCGGCAATTCTTCTTTGACATGAGAGAGGTCCAGGTTCTCCATCACTCTAGGTGGTAGGTAGTGCTCCAGTCTGAAATAAGACAGGCCATGCACCTGTGGGGAGAAGCATCGAGGTAAGATAAGCGGTGTGGGCACAATGCATCTCAGCACGGATGTAATACTCATGTGCAGAAGGACTGGTGTATTGCCGCCTTCTCCCCTTCCCCATGTCTATGCATCATGCATTATTATGCCATTACTGGAAATGGTAGTCCCATGTGGGTCCTTTCTGTTCTCTAGCCGGCCCCGCATCTTGCCCAGATTTGATCTATTGGAATGCAATAAACTCCCAGAAAGCCACAGTGGTGTTGTGGATGGAGTTCTGAATTAGGACCCAGGTTCTAACCACCACTCTGCCACGAAGCCTGAGACCTTGGGCCAATGTCTCAGTTGCACCTACCTTACAAAATCGCTGTGAGAATAAAATAGGAAGAAGCAAAACACATACAGCACTGTGGTACATGTGCCCAGAGTGGAAGCAGCACTGGTAGATGGGGAAGAAAGGGCAGTTTCGTCCCTCTTCTCACTCCCCACTGCAGCCTCCTGACCTGCATGGCTATTATTCCCCATGGGTCCTGTGACCCTCTGGGAATCACACACACACACACACACACACACACACACACACACACACAAAGCTGCCTTCTACTGAATCAGATCATTGCTCCGTCAAGGTCAGTGCTGTCAAACTCAGACTGGCAGTCGCTTTCCAGGGTTTCAAGAACAGGTCTTTTACATGACCTACCGCCTGGTCTTTTTAACTGGAGATGCCTGGGACTGAACCTGGGACCTTCTGCATGCAAAGCAGATGCTCTTCCACTGAGCCACGACCCCTCCACAGCTTTCCCTGGGTTGGAAATGGCTATTATAGGGAGGGGAAAGCAGGGAAGACCCATGACTGTCAACATCTTGTACTGGTGGATCGCCGGCTCCAACCCAGTTTGTGGGCGGGACTCAAGTACAGGAGTGAGGGTACAAAGAGATCTGAGAGGAGGGAGCCAATCAGTCTCCACTGATGTGTCAGTGGAATGCGACGGTTGCCTCTTTCCAAGGATTACATCTCATGCTGTCTGATCATGCCTGAACAGCAGGACGCTAAATAATGGTGGAGGCCACGAAACAAGTGACACACCTCCAGGAGTCAACGCTGATTCTCTGGTGATGCTCCATGTAATTCTCTTGTCACATGTGATTCTTCTGTTAAAATGCCACGAGAGCAGTAAGTAATCCACCTCTGGTCACAATTATACCATTCTGGTAATCAACAGAGTGAACTTCAAAGAATCCAAGTGGTCCACGTGCAATCTAATTGCAATAATATCAAAAACTGCAAGCCATAAGAGGACTAACACACTATGGGTGCGTTCAGACGCGCCGTTTCAGCCGGCATAAACTGTACTGGTTGGAACCGGTGCAGTTTATGCCGGCTGAAACGCGATCACACTCACCTCCTGTCTGCGCAGCCCATCGCAATACGCCAGTCCACACTCGTCGTCGGTTTTTTAAAAACTTAGTTTGCGCATGCGCATAGGCAGCCATCCATAGAATGGCGATCTTCGCGCATGCGCAAAGAACCCTGTCGAACATTTAAACTTTAAAGGTAAGGACTTACCTTTAAAGTTTAAAGATCACAGTAGCCTCCCTGAGGTCCCGGATGCCTCCGAAACGCTACAGTAAGGCCCTTTTCTTTTTCTACAAACGGCAGGGCGAAGCTTTGCCCAAGCGCATATCGCCGTCCTTTAAAAAAAGTGGCGGGCGAAAATCGGAAGCCTCAGGCTTCCGAACAGAAGTAGCTGTGCAACGGTGGAGAGCGATCAGACGACGAGGTACAGCGTTTACAACCATTGCACTCAGGATACCACCACTTGGGGACCTAGTGGCAGAGTGCAACGGTGTAAAGGGCTTTACAACGGTTAGGGACGGGAGGCAGATGTTCGCCGTGTGAACGCCGGTAAGTACACCGGTTGGAACCGCCACCTATTCCGTTGTAAAGCCCCCGTCTGAATGCACCCTATGAATGAAATGCCAGTGTGCCATAAATAAAGTCAATCAAATAATTGAAGGCTCCTGTGAACCCGAAGTAATCATCCATAAAAGAGGCTGCCCACTGCATCCCTAAATGCTTTAAAGCTTGGGTTGTGCTTTTTCACAATTGCACTCCTTTGGGTCATAGGGAATTTGGACATCTCTCCAGCACCGGGAAGGATCAGATTATTCAGTTCCCAAATAGAGGCAGTAGCATCACTTGCCCTCAGAGGAGGATGCCCTGGGTTTCTGCGTGGGTCACTGCTCTGGGGTATGCTCTTTTATTTTCAGATTTTATAGTGAATGTTGCCTCCAATTTTTATTTGGAAAAAAGATGTTTCAAATATCATAAGTTTAGAAAATACTGCCCTATTGGTTAGGACTGGCCTCCTGTTTATCCCTCTACTACCTTGAAAAATCTTCCACTTTCTTGGGGCTGTATTCAGATTTTTAAAAGAGAGGTGGGGGAGAGAGGGGGAGAGAGAGAGAGAGATGGACGGACAGACCATTTCAGCTTCAGGACACCAAATGGAGAAGACTTCTCCTGTTTCCTGCTCCCAGTCTTGGTTCTGCCACTGAAAACCAACTCCATAGGAAGTCACACAGGTATTCTGTCTGCTCTGCTTTGGAATGGCAGACCTGCTGAGCATCCAAAAAGGGTGACATTGAAAAACAGAACTGGAGGTCACACAAGAAATGCCACCCTTACCTCTGCTTGGTAATCGCCATACTCAGCCTGGAGAGCCAACGACGCTAGCAATAAGGCCGTTTCATCATCACAGTGCATCCTCTCTTCCAGGAGATCTTTCCTTAACTGCAGATAATACTGATGACATGTCAGAGTATGCCTGGGAAAAAGAACAAAACACAATAACGAATATGCGGTGTGGAGATAGCAATTATATATGGATTAAGCAAGCTGATAGGTCTCTTTTCACGAAAACTGGCTTCCTGTGCCAATTAATAATACTTGGCAGTTATGTAGCACTTACAGTGTTTTTATACAATGCTAAGCAGGTTACATCTTCTGCATGGTCTGTGAAACCCACGCACACGCACTTTAGTGCAAAGCTGCATGATCTAGGCAAGGAAAGTGTGTGGAAAATTGCCACGTGGAAGCGTTGTTACTGATGCAAATGCCTCTGCATGTGAGCAGCAAGAAGAGCTATACAGAAAATCACTACCATGTGGAAGCATCCAATAAGTGTGTCTGAGCCCCACGGAAAGAGGATGAGGGGCCGTGCCTGAGTGGGACACCCTCCACTTTGCATTCAGAAGGTCCCAGGTTCGATCCCCGGCATCTTCAGTTAAAAAGGACCAGGCAGTAGGTGATATGAAACAGCCACTGCCAGTTTGAGTAGACAGTACAGACACTGATGGGCCAATAGTCTGATCCAGTATAAGGCAACTTCACATGTGTTCCTGTATAATGAAAAAAAACACGCCAGGCACTCACTGTATCAAGCTGCTATCATCCACAAAGAACTTAATGCGGAAGAACAAGGAGAAGTTGATCGTGTTCTTGCTCTTTTTCTTTGGCTCTTCTTTCCATCCCTCAGGAGCTACTTTTGTTAGTTTTAATTCTGGGTCGACGAAAAAAAATTCATTTTCTGCCATAAAGAGAAGGGGGGGGGGAAACATACGATAATTAATAAAGCACCGATCAATCAGGTGATTTATCGCGCTGATCTACAGTCGGATTTACTCTCCATATATCTCCAATCAGCAACCATTTCCTGTATGTGACCCTTAACTGTTCTCATTAATTCTGGGAGACTCAAAGGGCACAAAGCCCTGCAAACTGGATACCTGATCCTGTGAGTGAGAAAACCGTAGCGGGCAGCAACCGCCACGGTCTCCCACAGTCATGTTTGCTATCACATGTTGGCAGAACAAAACCCTTCTGACAGCTTTGGGAACCGGCATAGCTTGGTGCACGTATGAGAATAAGCTGTGACCCGGGGGACTCCTGGGTTCAAGTCTCACCCATTATGAATTTGCTAGGTGATTCCCCCTATAGTGTATTCAAAGCTGCCTTGAATGCATAATATGTTGTGAAACATCTAATTGAAGTGTAATGTAAAGCTTTGTCCTGGACTAGGATCCAAATCCATCCAATCATGTTACTAGCCCAGGAAGCACCTAACCAATCATTTTCAAGCAAGCTCCCCGAGCAGGAACATCCGTGATTGGTCCTTATGTGAACAACCTTATTGGTTGGTATTTGTACAGTGGGTGTGGCTACATTAGCCGGGAATGTTTAAAAGCAGGACAGCTGCAATGTAAAGGCTGTTCTGGTTATCAGATGTTGATCCGTGTTGGAGTTGTGTTCGAGTTGAAGAATAAAGTTGTGTTCTTGCTGAATCACTCTCCGACTGCTTTGTTAAGTGAGCGACTTAACACACACACCCCAGCCTCTGCCCCCATCCCACATAGGGGGATGATTTGGCCATCTTTAAAAGGAAGCTGTTGTAAAGGTCGCAACACAACACTGTGTATTTGTGCATGCACGTGATGCGCTTGGAATGCTGAAAATGGTATATGCCTGTCAGACGAGAATCTGGGAGACCCAGGTTCGAGTCCTCCCGCTCTGCCATGGAAGTTTAACCTACCTCACAGAGCTGTTGTGAGCATAAAGCAAGAGCAGAGAATGACGGAAGTTACTCTGGATCTCCACTGGGGAGAAAGGGGGGGTATAAATGAAGTGAGTAAATAAATAAATGGGACTGCCTAACGGCCTAAACACATCATCATCATCATCATCATCATCATCATCACTACTATTATTAGCTAAGAGGTCATATAACCAGATAATCTAACCAAAAGATCTCTAGTAGTTCAATGCTGTAAATCCTAAGCACTATTTAAAAAGGATAAATCCCACTGAATTCATATCCGTGCTTAAGAGTGCACTGCAAAACTCTTAAATAAGTTTTGCCCTGGGTAGAGTTGTAGGCAGTAGACACTAGTGGAGGGGCTGTGGCTCAGTGGTACAGCTTCTGCTTGGCGTGGAGAAGGTCCCAGGTTCAGTCTCCAGTTAAAAGATCTGGCAGTAATTGATGTGAAAGACCTCAGCCTGAGACCTTGCAGAGCGGCTGTCAGTCTGAGTAGACAATACTGATTTTGATGGATCCAGGGTCTGATTCAGTAGAAGGCAGCTTCAGATGTACTAGATGCAGCAATTGTCCTGTGCCAGGCTGAGGGAAGCAACTGCCCAACTTTACAGGCATTTGTGCCAACACAGACTCCTTTTGTTTTTGCTGCAACAGACTAACATGACTACCCTTCCGGAATCTGTGCCAACCCAAGGGCTTATAGGATACAACAGCTATGTTGAAAACCAATAGCTATGTAGAAAGCCAGAACACAGTCATACCCCTTGGGAAGCCTTGGTTTCAAATATATTTATAAACAAAGGTCTCTCACTGCTGGAGAGTTTTTTCTGCCGCATTTTTGAGTCGATGTTAGACAAGCAGTTTCTAGCCTCTTGGATTTACATGCAAAATGTTTTATCCCTTGAAAAAGAATGACTCTCAAAATGCCTTGGGAATAAGAACATAAGAACAGCCCTGCTGGACCAGACCAGTGGTTCATCTGGTCCAGCATCCTGTTTTGCACAGCAGCCAACCAGTTGCCCAGGATAGTTAACAAACAAACAACTATGGCCCCATGGGTGGACCTCCTGATGGCACCACTGGTGGACCTCCTGATGGCACCTGGTATTTCTGGCCACTGTGTGACACAGAGTGTTGGACTGGATGGGCCTTTGGCCTGATCCAACATTGGCGTCTCTTATGTTCTTATGTTAACAATACAGGATGTTTTATACAGCTATATCATATGATGGATTTAAAATCTATTTGGCCCCTTTTGCTATCTTAAGATAGCAGGATAAAGCTATATGCACTCACCTTAAAAGTTACTAAGAGTCTTGCATTAATCTAAAAATGGGTTCAAATTAGAAGATTACGTTTTAGGTAATGGACATTTAATATACCCTGACCTGAATAGCCCAGATCAGATCTCAGAAGTTAAGCAGGGTCTTCCCTGGCTAGTATCTGGGTGGGAGACCTTCAAGGAATAGCAGGGGTGTGACGCGGAGGCAGGGCAATGGCAAACCACCTCTGAACATCTCTTGCCTTGAAAAGCCTACGGGGTCGGCATAAGTCAGCTGTGACTTAGCTGCAAAAAACCCCACCCATATAAAATGACAATTATTGACACATTTGTCTTATTTTTGTATATGTCTTGTTTTCTATAATGTAATTATATTTATTTTGGCCTTTTGCATTTATCAAAATGAAAAATAATTCCGAAAACACCACAAGAGCTAGTTCAGACCTGCACACACATCTTTGGACTACCCAGCATATGGTGAATGACAGTAGAATTCTCTGCACTGGAAGCAAGGGGGAAGTTCTTTCTGTAACAACTGATTTACGAACAGTCTCATCCACACCAATTCCTGCTTCTGTCATCCATCAGCGACACTCCATGTGTGAACTGCACAAGCATTCTTACCTTTTAAGGTAGCCAAGCCAAACAAGTGGTGTTCCACTAAACCAATGTGGGCCACCACCATATCAAACACATCCTTGCATATCGTCTTGGTGTCGCAGGTCATCTCCAGCCTCTGCCCAGTTAGGAGCAAGATGTTTACTTTCCGACGGCTCTCTTCACTCTTCCCTTTCTTGTTCTGTGTTTCATGAGACAAAACGCTGTCCGTTATCACATCAACCTTCATTACACCAAATGAAATCACTGGCCTATCAGGCTCTGTGTTGCCTACTGTGGCAAATAGCATCTCTTTTGGATTTCAGAGAGGAATCTTTCACATCACCCTTTACCCTTTCACATCACCCTAACACCCTTTAACTGGAGATACAGAGGACAGAACCTGAGACCTTCTGCATACAAATGACGTGACCTACTATTGAGTAACAGTCCATCCCCAGAGCAACGTACCAAGGACTGCACATAGGAAGCACCAAATACTCTCATCCATCTTTTTATCTCTTTTTAATATTTAGAGAGTCTGGCTATCTCTACAAAAATGGAAGACAATTTACAATCAATCAGAGCAACTTTTTAAAAAGCTACACAGTAATTTTACAATCCCTGACCTGTATGATTTAGGTCCTTTCTGCACTTGGATCTCATCCCTGGTTTTATCAGAGTTCAACTCGAGACTAGGGGTGTGCAAAAAAATATATATTCGGCCCTATTTTTCCCACCATAGAGAACAATGGAGGGGATGAGGGCAACCTGTTTGGGGCCCCATAGAATTGGACCCCCTGGTCCAATGTTCTTGAAACATGGTGGGTATCATGGGGAGAGGCTCCAGCAACTACCCTGTGAGTTTGGAGCCTCTCCCTCAAACCCCCTCCCCTCCAGCCCCCAGAATATACCCTACGTTTTCGCCATTGACTTCAATGGCCCATAGGATATAATGGGGCCGAATTGCCGCCGAAATTTGGCGGCAATTCAGCAGCAAGCCGATTCAGATCAGAGAGAATCTGAATCGGTCTACAGCAGCCCAAAAGGGGTCTGAATGGGCCATTTTCGGGGGTGCATTCGGTTCGGACGAACTGAATGCACATCCCTACTCGTGACACAATACCTTGCATTTATCCCTGGTTATAACAGCATTCGTTGATCCCGGGACAAGCATGGGGCAAAACTGGGGTGGCCTCAATGTAACGTGGAAACAAAAAATACCCCGAGACAATTACAGGGATGAACTCGAGTGTAATGCAGAATGTACAAATTACCTCAAGATAAAGAAAGAGGTACTTTTCTCCCTTTCTCACAATATAAGAACTCGTGGGCACTCCATGAAATTGCTGAGTGGTCGGGTTAGAACGAATACAAGGAAGTACTTCTTCACCCAAAGAGTGATTAACACATGGAATTCACTGCCACAGGAGGGGGTGGCAGCTACAAGCATGGACAGCTTCAAGAGGGAATTGGATAAACATCTGGGGCAGAGGTCCATCAGTGGCTATTAGCCACAAGGTATAGATAGGGGCTCTGGGGCAAGTGATGCTCTGTATTCTTGGTGCTTGGGGGGGGTCAACAGTGGTTGGTGCTTGGGGGGGTCAACAGTGGGAGGGCTTCTAATGTCCTGGCCCCACTGGTGGACCTCCTGATGGCACCTGGTATTTCTGGCCACTGTGTGACACAGAGTGTTGGACTGGATGGGCCTTTGGCCTGATCCAACATTGGCATCTCTTATGTTCTTATAATTACAAGGTTGAACTCGAGTGTAGTGTAGAATGTAAATTTGGGGACAGGGTTGAACCAGGATTTAAGGTCTAGTGTGGAATCACCCTTAGGCTAGCCCAATCTTGGAAGCTAAGCAGCGTCAGCTCTACAAAAGACCAAGAGTTCAGTAGCACCCTAACAAAATTTGTGGCGGAGTATTTATTTATTTAATTTATATTTTAAATTTCTGAATCGCCCCATCCCTGAGTACACAGGGCTCGGGTGATTTACAACAGGTTAGAAATATCACAACAATATTAAAAGCAATATTAAAACCACCACCCAGTTTTACAATAAAAATCACTGATAAGCTTAAACAAAAAACCCAAAGCAAACACATAGACTGAGACTGCAGGTAGAAGTTATTATGGGTTGCTAGAGATGTTCTGCATGCAGAAGTCCCCAGATTCAGTCCTTGGCATGCTGGTTAAAGGGATCTCAGACAGACTTTTCCCAGTTTGAGACTTTGGAGAGCATCTGCTTATTAGAACAGAGCCGGATGGACCAATGTCTTTACTCTTGCAGTTTCACATGTTCGTTGCTTCCTATAAGGCTGCAGCAGGATGGACCACATGAAGTGCCAGAGTAGCACCTCCACTGACAGGGTGTGGGTTGATCGTGCTCCCAGTGCCGCAGCCTGACACTGCTCGACTGATCTGTACCAACAAGGTGTCATTCATGAGCCTATCTCTAAGCATAAGATTTAATTTAATAAAAGTTGCTCATGGAGTTTAAAATTCAATTCCTAAGCCTTCCCTTAACCTGCCTGGCCCAGGGCTTACTAGACTGGCCCAGGGCTTGCTAGATATCAAAGAACCTAAACCAATGGTAGCTAGAAGAACTCTCTCTGAAAGATTCCACTGCGACATCACAGCAGGTTGGCCAACGACATTAAGAGATGTGGGGCATGTAGAGAGGACAGAAGCTGAGAAGGAGACTGCAAGAGTAAGCAAGTTGGAGGAGATGCACAAATATTGCTAGAACTAAATGCACATTAACAAAGTCAGTATCTTACCAAAATCGACTTTGGCAGGTCTAGGGAGGTGAATGGCTCAATGGTTGTTTTCACAAATTCAGGACCAAAGAAATTCTGCAAATCATAGAGGCTCATATTAGTGTTTAGTGTTAAAGCAACAAAAGACTTACAGCACTGGTGATGATGGTCACTGGATGCATCATGGGCTAGGAAAGCTGACAACTTGTCCTTTGAAAGTATTTTTAAAACTAGACATAAAAACATCAATTATAACAACAGATAGACACAAACTGATTCAAACTCTCCTCTCCCCACCATACAGCTTTCTTTTGATTTGCAATGTAATGTAACTTAATTCAACTATTTGCAGCTAAGAAAAGAACAAATGTAATTAATAAGCAGATATCCTCATGTATATGGGAACTGCGGTGGCTCAAGTGGTTAAGACGCTGAACTGCAGGCTGTGGAAGGTCGGTAGTTCAGCAGTTCGAGACCTGAGTGTGCCGCATGACGGAGTGAGCTCCTGTCTCTAGTTCCAGCTCCTGCCAACCTAGCAGTTCGAAAGCAAGAAATTGCAAGTAGATAAATAGGTACCACTTCAGTGGGAAGGTAACAGCGTTCCGTGTGCTTTGGTGTTTAGTCATGCCGGCCACATGACCACGGAAACGTCTTCGGACAGCGCTGGCTCTTTGGCTTTGAAACGGAGATGAGCACCACAACCCTAGAGTCAGTTTCGACTGGCTTTCAAGCAAGGGAACCTTTACCTTTACCTATCCTCATGTATATATTTATTATGTTTCTTCTATCAGTTTTCAAATATATGATTAAAGTCCACATTCTGTAACCAAACTCTGGTTTCCTCCTCCCCTAACTGAGACTGTATTACTTGCATTAATTTATCATACACATATACCAATCAATTAATTATATTAATCCATGTTTATGCACATATGTACAGATAAACACAGAGGCTGCAACAGCAGCCACTGCATGATTTCTTATAATAGTAACCAAATTATTTTCAATCAATTCAATGATTCATGTCATTGGTGCTTTTGTTCCCCTGTTCAGTTTACTATTGACAGGTCTGTTGACTTAATGAATAATGCAGAGATGAAAAAATAATTAATGCATCTTTCCCCCCCCATCTCCATTTCCGATAGTTATCTTTCTTCATGCCACAAAAACACTGTCTGAAATAGCACAGAGAAAGAAAAATATGCAGGTGCCACAAGGGGTGAGGGAATCAATACAAAATTGTACATGACATGATTTGTTGACCCCTCTCCAACTGGACTCTAGCGTATGGTAAAAGCCTGCAAGAGGGAAGACAAAGGTGTCTCTTTAACTTCTGAAACAAATGGAGAAAATGCCCACTAACTATGAACCTTTGCGGAAGTCACAGCCTTGCGATTTTCCTAAGGAAAATACTACCTGCTTACCTATTGATGTGCATAATAATAATTATTATTATTGATTGGCACTGTGTGTAGAGTAGTCAGGAGAGCCTAAGATTGTCTGGCAGCGAGAAGTTCTAGCTCTTTTAGTGTTATGTACCACTAGGTGTCAAGCTAGACTTAAGGCAAGAGATGTTTCAGAGGCGGTTTGCCATTGCCTGCCTCTGCGTCACAGCCCTGATATTCCTTGGGGGTAGGCCTTCCAAATACGAGCCAAGGCTGACCCTGCTTCGCTTCCAAGATCTGATGGGAGCGGGCTAGCCTGGGCTATTCATGTCAGGGCAGTCTTTGGAGAATAGCTGCATCCTGCTTAAACTACCCTGTATTCCAGAGGTTTTAAACCATTCTAGCTAAGGGAAAGCTTTTCCACACTGACATACTGGCTGTGGAATCCAGTACCTTGCAAAGGATTTGGAGGCATGCTCTAGGATGTAGCATCATTTCAAATGTAGTGGTACATGGGCTTCCAGACATTTACCCTTTCTTGGAACACACCCAACACTCCCCCCTATAGAGGAAGGTGTCCAGTGAAAATCAGCGGCCAACCCACCTTTCAGGGAAGCTCATCTATCATTACTTTTCTTTTACAATGAAGAACCACTGATAAATCCCAGAGTTTCCAGGAACGGAGTTTTGAAAAATCACAGCTACCAGCAATCATACCTAGTATGTGCTGGGAAGCCACTTAAACAGATTTCCCAGCAGTCCTGAAGTGCCACGGTTGAGAGAATTTCCAGCAGCAATAAATAGGCAGTAGCTTGAAGACACTCTAAGAAAGCATTGCCTAAGTTGCTCCCCATTTCTCAATAGGTTGGATTGCATCCTAGGGTGTTTAAATATTAAATATGAATACAGCCGCTTCAAGCCGTGCGTGAGAATGCTCTAAACTGGCCACCGCTGACAGACTAACTGAGCTGAGAGGTTGGTGGTTGCCTCAGAAGGCACACTGGGGCCCAAAATAGAGAGCCCGCTATCCAAAAACTGGACAAATTTTCAAGCAGTGGTTTTTACCTATAAAGACCTAAACGGTCTGAGGCCAAAGTGTCTGAAGGACCACCTTCTCTCACACAACCCTGCCCTACTGCCAAGCTCTTCTTCCTAGGATCTGCTCTCTGCGTGTTCCCACCTTCGGAGACAAGGTGTTCTCTGTTGCAACGCCTTGCCTTTGGTACCCCGCCTGCATGCCCATTCATCCAACAATTTCACTGCCAAGTGAAAGATTTAAACGCTCTTTTTGGCAGTATACAGTATAATCTTTTCTACCAGGGATTCTGCAGAATTTGTTTTTAAGGGGCTCTTTTAAAATAACAGCACTTGTGCGGCGTTTTCCGGAGTCCACAGCACTTCACATACACAGGGTTGGAGTCTATGACTCCCTTCTGCTAAGATGGTGGCAGTAGAGGCCTCTGTTTGTGAGGGTTCTGTTGGGGTCCTGCCCCCTCAGCCAGGCTCCACTTCCTTGGTCCCGCCTGGCCTAACACTCCCATGAGCCTCAGCTCAGGAGGGGCGGGACTTAGTAGGCATCTTTTCCTCACCAGCTCCCCTCTTGCATAGTCCGACACCTCCTTAACAGCCCCTTCCCTGGCCTTTTAAAATAAGGTATGGCATGCCACGTATCCCCTATTGCCACTCCCAGCCTTTTGTCAGGGTTTACCCTCTCATGGAAGGTTGACAGCCATCCCGTCCGCCACCACAACTCCACCCAACCTCAGCTTCCTGCTACACAGCACCAGCAGGCTGCCAATCAGCTTTTGTGGCCACAGAAGCTCTCTAAAGGTTAGCTGTTCTAAGCCTTCCTGTGAAGGGTGGAAGGCTCTTACTGGGAAGAAAGGGAAATAACGCCTGTTTGTTCAGTGCATCACACTGACAATGAGCATTTCTCACAGGTATAAGTTGCAAAAGTGTACTTAAGGGCAGTCTGCCATCTGCCACCAAAATGGCTGCAGCTGTCTTGCGTCAAAAAACAGGTAGTCCCAAACCTGTTTGCTTAATCGTTTCTGTTGCTGTTGGGACACGCAGGCCTCCTCCTAAAAGTACAGGGCAAGTCGACCAGAATGACATGTTAAAGAGACAAGCCCCAGGGCTGCCGATAAGGATGCCGGCCGTTTGGTATCACCTTTAAAAACAAGGCATGGTGCTCTACCAGATAACAGGGCACACACTAAAGTATTCAAAGCAGGAATTTGTAGAAAAGTTAGATACAGCCATGATTGGGAATGGTCATCAATCTTCATCAAACATAAGCAGCTGTTCATACCAGCATGTGCAAATTACTATCTTGTAACTGAACACTTTAAGGCAAAAGGTTTTCAGACAGGTGTGCTTTAGTGGGGGTAGAACGGAGGAGGAGGGATTCTGGTAATGATAGATTCACTGGTTGTCCCTGACAGTACAGATGCCTAAATATGTCTGAACGTTACCCTTAGTTTCCTTTGGGTCATGGCTGTTTCCAATGCAATTTCTCTCAGGGGATCTCTGGACATATCCAGAATGGGCGTCTTCACCATGTCTCCGGGATAGAGGCTTAGCCGAGACTGCCGGAGGGCTCTTTTCGCCTGCAGCTGCATCATCTCCTCTTCCTGCCGCTTGAGCATTACTTCTTGGCTTACCAGGCTGCCGTCAAGAGATGCTTCATATTGCCTGTTACTGGGGAGGTAAAAGTGAGATGGGGAGGGGGGGGAGAAATGTCACTGCCGTGAACAAAAAGTTATTAGGCACACTGCCTGGCAAACACAGTACACCCTAGGTTGCTTCCACACTGCAACAATTCCCTACTGTGCAAGTATTGCTCCCGTGAAGGCAGAAGCAGTTGCTGTGGCAACGGAGAATATACATTTGGAAGGGCTCTGTGCTTTCCCACAGTTTCACCTTCCACCTGCCATTTCCCCCATCCCTTTTGCTGACCGTGGTAGCTATACTGCTATAGTGCAATGACACAATGCTTTGGCCTGGCGAAATCTCTTCAGATCTTGGAAGCTAAACTGGATCAGCCTCGGTTAGTACTTAAGTCCAGGGTCACTATGCAGAAAGATTGTACCAAAGTAGGGCAAACCATGGAACTGATGACTGGGAGGACAATGTTGTGTGCATGCGCCAATAAAAAGGTGTGTCAGAGCAAAACACCCATCCTGAAGTGGCTACAGCAGAAGACAATGCAAAATCCAAGATCTGGTCTTGCAGAATCTCTTCAACAAAGAGCGGCTTTGCCAGTCCAAACAAGTGAAAAGAAAGGAAGAATAAGTAGCTTGTGTTTTCTGTCTCCCTCTCCTCCGTTCTGCACCCGAATATCTTCCCTTGTAGGAAGAGGTGCACATTCTGCATACTGAAGAAGCACAATGTATTTCCTGACCAAGGAAGGAGAGGTAGAGACACACAGGTTTGGTTTTAAATGTTCTAAAACCAAACACAGGAGTAAATTCCCCAACATGTAAAGTGAGACTGTCTTCTGCAAAGACAGCAAACCCTTGCTTTTCACCACATGGTACAAGCAGTGTCCATGTTTAAGGAAACTGAAGTTAATTATGGCTTTCCAGCACATATGCACACATCAAAAACAAACCTCAGAGTGTATAATGACCGTTTGCAAATGACTTACACCTGGGCTGCACACTGATAATTACTCAAGCACCTCTGGCCTAGAAATTTTGGAATATGTAAAGCAACCTTCTGTATAAGTACACAGTCGTGACTGTAAGAGATGCACACACATGCCTTTTAACAACATGGTCTAAAAGCCTCAAGGTCGCCTCTACCCCTGAGCGTCTTGACTTCTGTTCTTAAGTCAGGCTACAGGAATTACTTATTAACTAAATGGTGCTAGGGTAACCAGTCGGCTGGAAAATGGATTGGGGTGAAAGCAAGGGCCACGGAAAAGTTTCATTAGCTGCACTTACCTGAGGGATGCTGAATACCAGGGTCGAGAGAAATAAGCCAGGGTAAAGAAAGTTTAGGGAATGCAGAATAAGAAGTGAAGCAGAAGGATCAGGTGTAGAGTTGATGGGGAAAGGACCAGACACTGTGAAGGGAAGATGCGCAAATTTAACCTATCAGATGTTACAGAACTGGGGTGACTGTTCTGCAAAAGGGGAAATAGAGTCTCTGCACCTGTACGAGAGCGGAGGAAATTGTGCAGGGGCTGATTCTGCCACCTCAGTGCTGCCGTCAGGGGACAATTTATGGTGACTGAACCTGCATCTGCTTCAGAGCTCTCACACTTTTAGGGCAAACACTGGCTTCTATTACAGAAATTTACTGTCTGCCTTGTCGATTTCTTTCCTGAAGTCCACATGGCAAACTAACCACATAGGGCTCCACTTGATCTGACCTTTTGTGAACCTGAGTGTTTTGGATAGTCTCCAGACCATCCAAATAAGAGGTAGTATAATCTATGTGAAAGGAGGGAGCTATTTAGGGCAGATGTAAGGAAGATCATGCATCTCCATCCATCCATAAAACACAAATTGCGGACTAGCATAGCTTCAATTTGCACTGGGATGTGGGGAAGAAAGAGGAGGTTTACCCTTTCAACCTGCACCTGGTTTTGATCACTTAAACCAGCTACCCTGCACTGCTATTGGCATTTTAATGGAAAAAAGACATGTCCTTTAAAACACACACACATTCCCTTTAAAATGCTAACAAAGCAGGGAACCCAGTTTCGATCAATGAAACTGAATGGAGCCTTAAGAGTAAAACCTCCCCTCCCTCTCCTGCATGGCCCCAATGCAAACTGAAGCTCCACAAGTCTGCATAGTATAGACAGATGAAGAAGTATGACCTCCATCATACCTGTTTTTGCCCTTTACAACACACCAGCTGCTTCCTGTGATGGGAGGAGGCATGATAGCTCCTTCTTTTGCATTACTTACTCCATCACTTTTTCAGATGGAATGCACACCCATATCCCCCATCAGCACCACTGACCCCATCTGTTGCAGGTTCCAGTATGCTCCCTCATACTCTCTGGCCACTCAGAAGAGCCCTTCTTCTGGTGAGAGGTCAGGAGATACTGTGGCCTCTGAGACAGTCTCTTTTGGAGTCGCACCTTGCCTGGCATTTCCCCAGTCACGGCTCAGCTATTATGTTTTCATGCCTTCCTCTTGAAGGAGCCACCAGATCGGGATAGACGGGACACACACAACTCCGAACTCCCCCCCCCCCATGAGAAGTAATGGAGTCTTCATACATGGGCAGAAAAAAAGTACGCCCATGCTAAATCTCCCTCCAGTGTTTCCTACTCAACCCCCATTATCTCTCAGTTGTGGCTTCCCGAACTCAAATTCAGAGACATGTTTCCAAGTACTCCTTTCCTTGCCACTCCTTGGCTGCTTTGCATTACGGAAAAAAGATGTTGGGACCAATGCTCCCTCTAAGCTGTGGAGTCTTGTGAGCAAAAATTCCGCTTTGTGAGCTACTGGCATTAAAGTTGTGAGTGAGCGATTTGGCTACTGCACAGATTAGTTTCCTCTGGAGCCATCCTTCCTGAACTGAGACAAAAATGTGTGAGCTGGAAGCTAAAAAACGGTGAGCTAGCTCACACCAACTCAGCTTAGAGGGAACACTGGTTGGGACTTTGGTACCTGCATGTCCCTAACAGTTGCTCACGGTACAAATCAGACTAGGGGACAGAGAGAAGAAAGAAGCAAAAGAACTTGGCAGAGCCCGTAATGTGGAGATGTGGGCAGCAGTGCTCCCTCTAAGCTGAGTTAGTGTGAGCTAGCTCACAGTTTTTTAGCCTCCGTCTCACACGCTTTTGTCTCGGCTCAGGAAGGACGGCTCCAGAGCAAACTAATTTATGCAGCAGCCAAACTGCTCGCTTGCAACCTCAATGCCAGTAGCTCACAAAGTAGAATTTTTGCTCACAAGACTCCACAGCTTAGAGGGAGCATCGGTGGGTAGTTACGGGAATGCTCTAAGGACACAGTGTGGCCAGTGTCTGTGGTGCTAATAACGATGGCATATCTCAATGTTTGTGAGTCTATAATCATTCACGGTGCAGGGTTTCCAAGTGTGAGTCACGAGCCAACCGAGAACACGCGAGTGGAGGAGGCAACATATCAGTCTTTGAATGCATGAGGCTGCCTTATACTAAATCAGACTCTTGGTCCATCAAGATCAATATTCTCTACTCAGACTGGCAGCGACTCTCCAGAGTCTCAGATGGAAGTCTTACCCATCACCTACTACCTGAGCCTCTTGGCTTTTGAACCTGGGATCTTTTGCATACCAGGCAGATGCTCTACCCCTGAGCCACAGCCCCTCTGGAGTCCATTACTGTCACAGAGTATCTTAGGCTGCAGATGAAATGTGTGTATGAACAGAATGACAGGGTGCAGTGGGGGAATAGTGTATGCATGATGGGGTTGGGAAAGAACAAGGACCCCTGTATTCAAGGAGCCAAGCGGATATGTCCAATGATGTTCCCAGGTGTGTGTGTGATGCAGACGTTAACATGAGAGGCACAATAAACATCTGAGAAAGAAAATTTCTATGCATTTTCAGTACTTTATAATTAGTTCAAAAATGGGCTTCTTTCCCAACTTAGAGAGCCGCCTTGAAAGAATACCGCACGAAGCGGCTACAGCCATAACATAATCCCACCCTTCCTCTGGAGATCTTAAAATTCTATTGCCTAAATCTCTTCTATGAACAATGCAAAGTCTTTCTATTTGTTTTACCATTTGGAAGCCAGGAACGAACAAAATCTTTTCATGCAGAGAATTAAAAACACCCTTAAAATTATTATTTGTTTCTAAATATTGGCATCTATGCAGGGCCTTCCCCCGACAGACTGACTATTGTTGTTGTTGTTGTTTTAAATCCAGGACAAGCAAGTATAAAAAGTTGAGCATTGACTTGGCAAAGGTCAAACACTGGATTCAGACTTTACTGCTTGCTCATTTGGTATTTCTTAACTTTCCTAGTACAGCCTATAAAACACTCTTATTTATTTTATTTTTAATTTATTTATTGCACTTGTATCCTGCCCTATGCCGTGATGGGCTCAGGGTGGCTCACAACAGAAATAAAATACAGCAAATATAGAATTAAAAACCAGTTACAAAACTGGTAAGCAGTGTTCCCTCTAAGCTGAGTTAGTGTGAGCTAGCTCACAGTTTTTTAGCCTCCGGCTCACACATTTTTGTCTTAGCTCATGAAGGAGGGCTCCAGAGTAACCCAATTTATGCAGTAGCCAAGTTGCTCGCTCACAATTTTGATGCCTGTCGCTCACAAAGTTGAATTTTTGCTCACAAGATTCCACGGCTTAGAGGGAACATTGGCGGTAAGCAGGGGTCATTTTGGGGGGGAACGCGGGGGGACGCCATCCCCCCGGGTGAGGTGCGGGAGGGCGGGGCCTGGAGCTCCCTGCTGGTGCCCGCTGGAGGTCGCCGCTGGCTATGGGGAAGACACACTTCCGGTGATATCAGGGGGTGTGGCATATGCTAATGAGTTATGCTAATGAGTCCCCCTAGCTCTTTTTCTACGAAATGACCCCTGGCGGTAAGTAATGCTCCCTCTAAGTTGTGGAGTCCTGTGAGGTAAAAATCTAGTTTGTGAGCTACTGGCATTAAAGTTGTGAGCGAGCGATTTGGCTCCTGCATAAATTAGTGTGCTCTGGAGCCATCCTTTCTGAGCTAAGACAAAAATGTGTGAGCTGGAGGCTAAAAAACCTGTGAGCCGGCTCACACTAACTCAGCTTAGAAGGAACACTGGCGGTAAGATTATTAAGCAGGACGGGTCCAGGGGAAGGCTACCGAGAGTAGCAGGCTTTATGAAGCACAGAAACATTGTGCTGGAATCTCGGGGTAACTGATCTTATCTCAGAGGTTTATGAACCGGAAAAGGAAAAATACACTCTCAGGACACTTAAAGGCTGACTAAACCACCAGCTGTAGTTGGAAGTCGAACAGTGAAGAAATGATTAAGAATTGGAGCAAAGGTTGCAGCCAATAGGACAAATTCTTGTGGGAGGATAAAAAGGGAGAGGCTGGTTTCAAGCAGAATAGGGCGCAGCCTCTTGAAAAAAGAAATTACAGCCCTCCAGTCTATTTCGCTCACAGCTATTTGGGTTGGCACCAATTTTTTAGTAGCTAGAAACTTACTATGCTGGTAATTCTCCCGTTAGATGTTAAAAAGACCGGTTCTTCTCTGAAAAGGAATTGGCAGTATTGGAAAATAACAAGGCGCGTTCTTACAGACAAGCCGAAGCATAGTTCCGTACAAATGGACATGAAGCTGTGGGTTGTGAGTATTAACAGCAGCTGCTTCCATGCTGGGGTGTAAAAATGCACCCATGCCACAGCAGCCAACATTGCATTATGGAAGCAGACGGGAAGGGTGTCCGTTCCCACGTGGCTGCTGCCACCTCCACCTAGCTCCTCCCTCTTTTCTCTTGTCACATCTGTGGACACTCCCCCCTCCCCAATGACATTATGGGAACGGGGGGGGGGGGGGGGGGGGAGCTGTCAGTGCAAAATGCACTCCAGGCTTGGATCCCGGCAACAAAGCGACTCGTTGATAACTAGATACAGCTTATTTGGATGCAAGTCATCCCTCTGATTTCCAGACACTGATCTTTCCCCCCGTATATACGATCGAACATCTGTGTGTTTTAAAACAGCACTTCAAATACAAGAGTCACATTTTGGTTTAGGCACACCCACACATATCTTGGGGAATGAGTCAGAAATACTTCTGCCTCAGACTTCAACCTCAGACTGATGAAGCTCTGAGATGTTCAAGTTGGAGCAAAGCAGATTAAGGTGGGATATCAGGAAACATTTCCTAATTGTAACCAAAAAAAACCCCCTCTTAAGTGGTTAGGCAATGCAGCAAATTCCTCAATGAAACTGGAGAAATCCCCTACCTCCTGGCAAGCACACCTGGGTTTGGCTTAAACCAGAACTGAGTGTGGACGTTAGGGAATATGGGGACAATGAGAAACACATACATCCTGTTTCCTGTACTCCTCCATATTTTCCAACATAAGACTTCTGCATCTTCTCTCCTGCAAAGAAATCCACTAGCTGCCACCTCCCCCCCACCGCCCCCGCACTGGGAAATCTGCACGGGGAGAGACACAAGCGTTCTATCACAAAACATGCACAGGAAATGCAAGGTATTTGTGTTTACTGTTCCTCTTACAATCCACACTTTTCACATTACACAAAAATTGCAAGACTTTTTTTGGCAAGGAGCCTCAAACACTTGCCAACCAAAATATCCATCTGCAGAGAGCCAGTGTGGAGTAGTGGTTAAAGTTTCAGACTAGGATCTGAGAAACTCAGGTTCAAATCCCCACTCGTGCCATGGAAGCTCGCTGGGTGACCTTGGGCCAGTCACACCCTCTCAGCCTAACCTACCTCACAAGGTTGTTGTGAGAATAAAAAACAGGAGAGGAGAACGATGTAAGCCACTTTGGGTCCCCATTGGGGAAATCAAGTAAATACATAAATAAAGTAAATAACACTGCCATGTCTTTTTGAATGGGCACATTCCACAATAAGCCCCTGAGCTGAGGCCTTCTTTCACGAGAATGTGAAAATGGTGAGACTTGCCGCTCTGTTTAGTGCAATTTGGTGGTTTGCTTATAATATATGAATGTGTGTGTGCAGGCATGTATGTGTTTATGCATATGTTTAATACACACACACACACACACACACACACAAGGAGTGGCAGAAAGCAAATTTGTTGGAGTATCTACAAATCCTCTCCCTGATGTCATGAAAGTTAACCTGTTTGTCTGTCTATGCTAATTGATTGTTAGTTAGTTAGAATCTATGGGGTGTCCAGTAGAAGCTAGAAGGGGAAGGTCTCATGCATAATGAACTGACCTTTAGCCTGGTCATTGGACAGTTCGTAATTGGGAGATGTTGCCTGAGTTTTGGCACACATGCATGTTTAGGTTTCTTCTTTCTCCCTTTGTTTAGAGATCAGTGTTGCACGACTCCATCTTGGAGTTAACATCAGCTAGAAAGATGTAGCTTGGGGTGATTCTGCACTAGACCTTAAATCCTGGTTCAGCCCTGTCCCCGAATTTACATTCTACGCTACACTTGAGTTCACCCCTGTAATTATCTCGGGGTACATTGAGGTCACCCCGGTTTTGCCCTGCACTTGTCCCAGGGTAAACGGATGCTGTTATAACCAGGGATAAATGCAAGGTATCGTGTCATGAGCTGAACTCTGGTAAAACCAGGGATGAGATCCTACTGCGGAAAGGACCTTAGTCAGCTAGACTGTTTATTGTGTTTTATTCCTTCATGTAACCCTCCCTAATACTTTAGTAAACTTTCTTTTTAGTTAATTTACATGTGAGTGCTGTGTTGTTATTATTTTATGTGCCAACAAAATTTCTGTGACTGAGAATCAGAATTTGTACGAAATCAATTAAGGGGGTAATTTCTCAAGTTTTACCTTGATCTTTGTCCCTGGATTTGATTCGATGGAGAAACATCATCGGAACTTGGGCCGCTGGAGTCATCTCTCTTTAAACCTTCCATTCTTTTCACTGGAACATGAAAAAACCAAGATAAAATGGACTTTAGATTACATAAACAAAGATATTGTCAAAGCATTAGAGATTTCATTGCTCAAAAGCCAGTCGAATCCAACTCTAGGGGGTAGTGCTCATCTCCGTTTCCAAGCTGAAGAGCCAGCGCTGTCCGAAGACTTCTCTGTGGTCATGTGGCCAGCATGACTAAATGCTGAGGCGCATGAAATGCTGTTACCTTCCCACAGAAACAGTACCTATTTAGTGGTACCTATTTGTCTACTTGCAATGCCTTGCTTTCGAACTGCTAGAATGAAAGGAGCTGGGGCCAGAAACAGGAGCTCACTCCATCATGCGGCACTAGGGTCCCGAACTGCCGAGCTACCAACCTTCTGGTCTGCGTCTTAACCTCTGAGCCACCTTGGCCCCTAAGCTAGCTTTAAAAGAATCAGTAATGACATTACAGTATTGGGAGAGGGTAGGAGTCAAATTCCTAAAGGTATTTCTACTTCAGGCTTAAATTTGTTTAATATTTTTCTCTTTTCCTACAGGATCCTAGAAAAGGTAATTCTGAAAGGGTTACCTAGAGGTATTCAACAGAGAACTCTCAGCATTTTCATCAAACTATACATGACAGGATTCCACAGGCCAAACTATGACAGCTAAATTGGGATAAGACTGGTATATATTTCTACTGCTAATATTGTATTGATTTGTCTAGAAAATGTCTATGCTGCCTCTCCAGAGAACTTGGAGAGTTCTTCTTCTTCCCATTTGACAAAAGCCACAAGGAACGGGAAAATATGACTTTTTTTCATGTCACTGAAGTTGTTATGATAAAGCTATTGTTGCGCACTGTTATGTTCCCCGTATCATCTTTGGTCAAACAGTTTTTTGGGGGATTTTGCATCACTTCAAAAACCTGCAAAACCTGTTGAGCTGTAGATGCTAGTGGGACAGAAAAGTCTATGTGGGTGAGATTCCTCCTCGTCTTGGATCTGCAGCAAATTTGTGCATGTTGGGTCAGTTTACCACATGCTGCCATTGATTATGTACCTAAAGCATTAAAGGCAGTTCTAAGATGTGATAAATACACATCCCCTTTCGTGCACCTGCAGTTGCTCCAGGCTGAATGCAACGTCCAATTTCAAATGATATCCACATTGATTAGATTGGAATGCATTTTAATTCAGTCTCTAGATTAATGATGCAGGCATAAAAGTCGTTATCCAAACGTTTGTCAAGTTTCTAATTTCTCTGAACTGTTCCCTCCCAGAACAATATCCAGGTATCAAAGTACCTCCTAAAAGTAAAAGCAGACCCAGTGCTGAAGACTGAGGCTGAAGGTGAGTGCAGGATGAAGACCACTGTTCTGGGAGAAGGAAACTATTTGCTTGGAAAAAAGACCTCACAAAAAAGTGGTGATTTAGGACCCTTCCATGATGATAATGGCACACTGGTAGCTGTGTTAGTTTACAGAAGCAAAACAGGAAAGGAGTTCAGTGGCACCTTAAAGACTAACAAAATATATTCCAGTATAAGCTTTCATGGGTCAGAGCTCACTACAACTCTTCTAATGGAGCTCAGGGTGGCCTACGTGATTCTCCCTTCCTCCATTTTAATCCTCACAATAATCTTGTGAAAACAAAGTTTGAGTCCAAGGGAAATTACTGAGTTGCAAGTTATTACAATGCTCAGAAGAATGGAATCAATATCCACCACAAAGATCTCCCAGTATATCAAAATCAATAAATACCAACTGGGGAAGTCGCTATCATATGCAAAATAATTATATTGAAATTGTACAATAAGTATTACAAATATAGATACATAAATATAAATCCAAAATTATACAAATTCACAATTCATTTTTCATAGGTTATTTTACAGGTATTTTACTTTCCATAGGTTATTTCACAGGTTATTTAACGAAGAGTCCGGCTTCAATTTCATTTCGAGGAAAAACTTCATCAAAAGTGATTAACACCATACGTTGTGCAATTATTTATTGTTATTCAGGTATACAGGATACTCCTTAAATGGCTATGCAGTCATTTACTGGGACTAGCCCTTGTATTTCATAAGGTCTGAACACTTCTTATTAATGGGCAAACATCTGTAGCTGTATGCTGTAAGCTTCAAAATGCCTCTGTACAGCATACAGTTACAGATGTAACAAAACAAAGTTGAAGCCGGACTCCTCATTACATAACCTGTGAAATAACCTATGGAAAGTAAAATACCTGTAAAATAACCTATGAAAAATGAATTGTGAATTTGTATAATTTTGGATTTATATTTATGTATCTATATTTGTAATACTTATTGTATACTTTCAATATAATTATTTTGCATATGATAGCGACTTCCCCAGTTGGTATTTATTGATTCAGAACAATGGAATCCCCAGGACTTAACAGGGATATTAGTTTCTTATCTCACGACATATGCTAACCTCATCCAACCCTTACTGTATTCTCACCAATCCCCCAGAAGGGCCATACATCCTCTTTATTTTATTTCTTATTTGAAATAATACATTAGAATAGTAGATTGTAATGTAACATAACATAATGAATAGTAGAATGTAATGTAATTTGGAATGGTAGACTGGTATATACTTCTCTATCCTGGGGACAGGGGAGATAACTCTACACAGCCAATTGCCCCAATTCAAAGAAGAAGATGCTGTAAGGTCACCTCCATGCTTGAGAGGAGACAGATGGAGCGTAATGGCAGGGTCTCAGTTAATTATTCTCAGCACACCACAATTGATACCTCTGCTCATCAGTCTCCAGTTTTGACATATGTATTTTCTTCACTATGCTTCCCCCCCCCCGAATTAAACCCAAACAAATGGTAACCATATAAACGAAACTTGTTATTCCTGTTTGGTCCTTGCATCTGTTTAACATCTTCATTATGTTGTATGCTAATTTACTGCTCTCACCCTCTACCTAAAAGTATGGATTGGTAACTTCCATTTCAGTGTATCTGAGGAAGTGTGTGTGTGCACACGAAAGCTCATACCCTGAATAAAACTTTGTTGGGCTTAAAGGTGCCACTGTAGAACTTTGTTCTACAGCTTCAGACCAACATGGCTACCCATTTGAATAATCTTGTGAGGAATTTCAACTGAGTGAAAGTTACTGGTACAAACTCACCCAGTAAATTTCACGGCCAAGGAGGGACTTGAACCCAAACCAACAGTCACAGTCTGATACTCTAACCACTATGCTTCCCTGCAAAGAGTTTCCTCTTTGTTAGTGTGTCTTTCAGTATTTTTGAGTGTGATGGGTGGTATGGAAATGTGGCAAATAAAGGCAGCAAAGGAAAACCAAAAATCTTTAAAAATAAAAACGGAATCAATATTACTGATGCAGCTCACCTTCAGAAAGTTCACAGCCCACTAGCTGAGAACCTGCACTCTAGGGAGCACAACTTTGTGCACTTGAAATTTAAAAACCAAGCAGTCTGTACCTTGTCTAAAATCTGCGTCAGAAGAAATGAAGGACGGGCTTTCACTGTCTGTACTGTATATGTCATTGTGGTAAGATCTGTATCTTCGTCCATGTTCTGCAAGTGATTTAAAGCAAGAGGGGGTGGGGGGGAAGGAAGAAGAAGAAGCAGGGTTAACCCAAACAATATCAATATCAATTTAAATACCACCTCAATTGCACCATTTTGAGATGCAGCAAAAAATACCTTTCTTTGGTTAGATCTTTCTGCTACATGAGCAATCTGCCAATCGTGGAAAACATCCTTCCATACACAGAACACCTCCCACAGTGAAGAGGAACCTCTATGATCCAAACCTTTATTCTGTTCCGGAATTTATTTGCCATAGGATGCGTTTGAGCGCCACTAGCATACATGCCTCTTTAAAAGATTACGATTAATTCTGGGTATTGGAACTTGACAGTACTGCAAGATTTCTTTAGTGCTATCAACACTATAAAACGTTAATTTTTGCACCTACAGTGGGATATATGATAATATGTTAAAGAATAAAGAAATTTTAAACTTCTATTTCTTATATTTCATTTCCCCCCCTTTTTGAGTGTATTTTGTGTGTGCTGAGTATGCCTGGAAGTCATAGTTGACTTCTGGTGACCCCTAGTAGGGTTTGGACATTTCACTGAGGTGGCTTACTATTGCCTGCCTCTGTGTCCCAGTACTGGTATTCCTTGGAGGTCTCCCTTCCAAGTACGTGCCAGGCTCCTCCCTGCTTAGCTTCTGAGATCTGATGAGATTGGGCTTGCCTGGGCTATCCAGGTCAAGGCCTTATATTTCAGTTTTTAAAATGGGGGTGGGGATCAACTAGCCATCCTAGTTGATCCCCAATAATGGAAATATTTTGCAAGGCTTTTTTAAAATTCTCAACAGATTTTTGAGGACCAAAGGAACGCATAGAATGGATTACATGACCAATATGGCCCGAAATGACCCCTGCTTCCAAGTACTTGCCAGGCGCCTCCCTGCTTAGCTTCCGAGATCTGATGAGATTAGGCTTGCCTGGGCTATCCAGGTCAAGGCCTTATATTTCAGTTTTTAAAATGGGGGGGGGAATCAACTAGCCATCCTACTTTCCTTTTTTTAAAAAAGTAGCAATAATGGAAATCTTTTGCAAGGCTTTTTAAAAATTCTCAACAACTTTTTGAGGACCAAAGGAAGGCATAGAACTGATTACATGACCGATATGGCAGCTCACAAAGTAGAGTTTTTGCTCATAAGACTCCACAGCTTAGAGGGAACATTGGTCCTGACCACAATTGTCGGGGTTCAACAGTAGGGGACTAACGCTGGGGGGAGAGAACACGACTGCTCTGGAACACTGCAAAGGTTTATTCGTTTGATCTGGGACAGGTTTTCACTATATGGGTGGTGGAGTGCCTTAACATTCAGAAAATGATCATCCCTTTCACAGCTGAGCAGACCCACAATGAATCAGAATCAGTTCCAACAAATTTAAACCTGGTAAAGTGTCAATGAATCTGTGAATCAGTCATAGTGCGGGAGCCTGCTAGGGCCAAAGCGAACATCTGTGCTAATCTGTACTGAGCTTTAGCTTGGTCTTTCTGAGTTGAACTTGTTAGGTCCCTGCCACACTGCAGGAAAAACACCGGCCAAAGTGCGGCTAATTAGAGCCGCACCAAAATAGAGACGCCGCGGCGGGATCCCACGGATCCCCTGAGCCGCAGCACCGTTGCTCCCCGGCACGATCAGATGCCAGGGAGGAAGACGGTCGGGAGGGGGAGGCTGCCGAACTGTGCATGTCTGAGCATGCGCAGTTCGGCCGGGAGCCGGCCGGCGGAAGAACGCGCCAGCGAATCCCACGGCCGGCCTTGATGCGGCCGTCCCAGAAGAACCACCTCGGTAGGTTGTTCATTTTTGCTCCGTGTTTTGGGCGGAAGGGCCGGATCGGGGACGGGTGCGCAACGCTTCCCAGATGTTGCGTTGGGATGGCGCCCGTTTGCTCCGCCCCCGATCTGTCCCTCTCCCGGCCCAAAACCTCTCGTATGACCGGGGCCTTAGTTTATTTTTATTTATTTATTTTTAGAGATTTTTATTCTGCCGTCCCCAGAAAAGGCTCAAGGCAGATCACAAGAAACTGAGTCCAAGACTCGTTACATAAAACCACATTAAAATCATTGAAACAATAAGCAATAAAAGTCACACAGGTAGCGACAATTTCATCTAAATCTGTTAGAGCCACAAGATGAAATCAAATGGGACCTTTCAGCAGATTGGGAACTAAATCAGGGAGGAAGCCAACTAAGGTTAGACGCCCGCTGCCTCACCCGAAGGTATCAGTAAAGTATCAGTAGTATCGGTAAAGCAGAAGCCCACACAAACTGAAGACTGCTTTCATATAATAAAACATGCCATTTACTAGCCAACAGCAAAACAAGAAATTAAAAACCTACAAGGAGCCTGGAATGTTATTCGCCCCAGGGCAAGAGTCAAATGATGGCTATAGAGATTCTCCAATACTGCTGTTGTCATGTGAAAGTCATGGCACTTGAAAGTAGGAAGAGAGGAAAGAACACACATTGCAGGAAAGCATTTATTTTACTAATGCGGATAGTTAATATAGACTTATTGGTTCAGTATATTAATACATTTTAAAATTAATACACAGACATTTCTTTCCTTTTTGAGTGGGTCTCTGGCAAACACAGTTTGGCTTGAAATTAAGATAATCTTTACCATTAGAAGGCCATTCAACCGTCTCTAGTTCCAGCTCCTGCCGACCTAGCAGTTCGAAAGCAAGAAATGGCAAGTAGATAAATAGGTACCACTTTGGTGGGAAGGTAACAGCATTCCATGCGCCTTGGTGTTTAGTCATGCCAGCCACATGACCACGGAAATGTCTTCGGACAGCGCTGGCTCTTCAGCTTTGAAACGGAGATGAGCACCGCAACCCTAGAGTCGGATTCGACTGGCTGTCGAGCAAGGGAACCTTTACCTTTACCATTAGAAGGCCATTAACAAGTTTTCCTTTTTGGAATATGCTTTCTATAAGAGAACCCAGTTAAGTGTCCTTCTTTGCAATTTCAATTAAATAGCAAAGGAATAGGGTATGTCAATGTGCTAATGCTAACAATACCCAGCTGTCTGTCTGGTGACATGGCAGAGCCTCTGAACGAACGTCTGAAGGCTGCAGTTAAATTGCTAAGGGTTAAACAAGCTGAAACTGAAGCCTTAAACTGATGAGGGTAATACTAGTTGGGGAGGGGGAATCCTGAAGGACAAGGTGCTTCCCAATTTTGATATTGTCCAGCTGACACTTGCTGACTTGGTTGAGATCAAGGATAATGCATGATACAGCTTTATTGCTGGAGAAGCCAGCTGATGGCACCTGAAAAAAAAGGAATTCTATCATCTCTACTTAGCCAGGAAGATGGCCCCATACCTTGACTCTGCTGACCTGGCCATGCGGATACATGCTATGGTTACCTCAAGGCTAGACTACTGTAATGGTTACCTCAAGGCTAGACTACATGGGTCTGCCCTTAAAGACAACTTGTCAACTACAGTTGGTACAGAATGCCACAGCCAGCTACTATTAGGCGCCAAGCACAATCTGCATATCATTCCCTTTTTTCAGTCACTCCGTAGGTTACCAATTAGCTGCTGTGTTCAGTTCAAGATGTCAGCTATTACATACAAAGCCTTCCACAGTCTTGGGTCCACATACCTGCAGGACCACCTCTCCTGCCATGCAACAGCTCTGCTCATCTGAGCAAAGCCTTCTGATGGTGCCACCCTGAAAACAGTTAAAACCGGCAGTTGCCTGTTCATGCATATTCTTTGCGGTGGCTCCTACATTGCAGAACTGTCTGTTGAGGGTATTAGGAAGGCCACCCCATGCTTCTATCATTTCACAAAATGTGCAAAACAGAACTGTTCCGGAGGGTGTTTCTGTAGAAGGAGCAAAGCTGCGGTGTAAAGGTTCAACTCAGAAGGTGACTTTTTGTTAGGGATAAAATCTTTCCCACTATAATTGTCTTGCTGGCTTAAACAGGTATGTTTGCATGCAAGACCAATAGTCCTCCTGCTACCTTACACAGATGCACTTGCATGCAATCTTCCACACACACCCCATTCTACAATCCTAGCCCAAACACATTTTTTTGTTTCACTACAAATATTTGCTATTACATTCAAATGTCATTATATCCTGTAATCCCCTTACGGATTGAAAAATTTGTATCATATTTGTAATCTGCCTTGGGTCCCAATGAGAAAAGAAGGATTACTGCTACTGCTACAACAAATAAATAAATAAATATACATACAGGAAGAACCACTCATCTGCTAACACTCAAAAGACATCAGACGCGATCTGCGAGGACTTGCCCCTTTGGGGTACCCTTACACAGCTCTCATTCACTGTAACGGGGTTTAGACGGGAGAACAGTTCTGCAGGGCCGTGAAAATGGAGCTTTTCTGGCAGGCCTTCCGATAACCTCTGGGCCAACTTAGAGTTGAAGCTTTCCAGAGCAGTAGTACAATTGACATAATGTGAACGCACTTTACTCAGAGAACCGCCATCGATAATAATGGTTTTAAATTGTATTATGCAGTGTTTTAGATATTTTTTGTATTGAATATATATTGTTTTACTGGTTTTATGTGAGCCGCCCTGAGCCTGCTTTGGCAGGGAGGGCGGGGTAAAAGCCGAAATAATAAATAATAAAATAAATAAATAACTTGGTTGCGGGTGTCTTGCACCCACTGGTAATAATGATTAAACAGAGCATTCAAAGCACTTCATGTACATGGTCTTGGAATCCTTACAAGAGCCCTGTTAGGGAGGTATTCTTACCACCACATTGAATGGGGT